CACATGCACAACAAACACGCATAACTACGTACAAAGCTTCATGAGTTCATGGACTCCTTAATGCCTGAAGCTGATTATGAAAACCTTACCCTAAGCTTGCCAAATGAGTTTCTTTTACCTCTAGCAATTCAGAGGCCTTAAAGCTCAAGGTTTCCAGTTGCAGCTCCAAAATTTCCTCACCTTTTCTTCAAATCAAAAACAATTAGAACTAAGTGCAAATTATATTCTTTATTGAAGCTCTCCAGGAGAAAAATTTGAGACAAAACCAGCAGCCCTGTAACTAACAGATGTTTTAAATGTAGTTACTTCACCTACATTCACATCTTCTTGGTCTAATTTCAGGTCTGATCTCTTCTGGCTGCTAGGATTATTTCCAAAAGATGAAAAATATTTCCAAAAGATGAGAAGTATAAAATAAAAAGCGGCCTTTATTCTGAGAACACAGAGAGAGATGACCAGCACCCCCACCACTGGCCACAGGCGATCTCTCCTGCGGACACGTGGCCTAGGGGTATGTACATAGCCTCAGTTTGGGGTGGAACCTAAGGCGGGCATTTGGGATGCACAGGTAGCCTATTGGTCCTAGGTTTGGCGCCATATGTAAATTTCCAGGGGCGGGAAGATGGCGTCACAGGTAACTTCCTAGGGGCAGGGAAGATAGGGGCTTCCTGCTTCCAGTTGAGGCTTTTCTGGCTACAGTGTCCTGTCTGGGCCAAAACCCTTTTACTGGCTAAGTTAGGAGTAGCCAAATCTCCCAGGCCAACTGTATAAATTCAGCATGTTGTCAGACAGCTCCTTCTAAAAATGGTTTCTTAATTAAACATCATTGGGTTTGGGGTTGCTCACCTCTCCTTCTGGAATTAGATTCCAGGTTCTTCTCTCAAATGAGAATTGAACAACATGAGCGAAAAACAGTGACAAAGTCTATTTGAAAGAGTAGAAGTGAAGAGTAGGGAAGAAACTGGCTCTGCAGAGTGAAGTTGGATGAAGTAAAGGAGGAAAAAGCAAGATAAAAGAACACACTGGAGAAGGCAGGGCGAGCTATCCTGAGGGAAGCCTTCATGGCATGCTCTTTTTGGTGTCGGTATTCTGGTATACTGTTCAATCTTGAGGAGACCCAAGAGAACTTCTACATACATATCCTGAGAGGTGGTTCTGGGACCATAAATTTCAGGCTGACATCAGATCTAGGCCATCCTATCAAGTCTTCACAAGAAGTCCATGTTGCAGGGCTTTGAGAACAGTTCTGTGCACGTGTTCCAGGATCTTGTAATTAAGATCAGTGTACTTCTCCATCCAGTTTTGCCACTCCCTAATCTTCTATGTCAAACAGACACGGGGACCAGAAATGTAATGAAAGAGGCTGAAATGCATGGGAGACCACCAAGTGACAGGATCTCTAGCAAATAAGCAAAGGGGAGGTCAGCAGGTAAGTTGGGCATGGTGCACACACCTGTAATCTCAGCATTCAGGAGGCTGGAGTGGGAAGAGTGTGAGACCAAGGCCAGTCTGGACTACAGAATGAATTCAAGGATGGCCTGAACTATACAGTGAAACCTTGTCTCAAAACACATACAAACAAACAAATATACCCCAAAACAAAAAACCCCAGCAGCTGTAGCAGATTGCTGTAACAGACGGTTGACATTCAAGAATTTTATGTCAGCACTGCTAAAACTTTGGGTCTTTCAAAATAATCTAAAATCTTGACAAAATACATAAACAGAACCCTGAATCTGGTTTGTCCTAGTTTAAAATTCCCAGCCTCGACAAATCAGAAGAAGGATTAATAAATGTTTACAGACTAATTGAAAATTTAGTCTACTTCAAAACTCCTTTTAACAGAATGACAGACTGTATTTTCCAAAACTGGACAAAACAGTATTTCCAGTTCCACATATTTTTCCAGCATCTTGACATTTGCATCAAGTGAATATGGAACCTGCGAAGTGTTTTGTTTTGTTTTGTTTTTTTGTCTTTTTCCTTTTTATCAGTACCAGCGATGGAACTCAGAACTGCCTGCTTGCAAGGCAGGCGCTTATGCCGCTGAGCTAAATCCCCAGGCCCCCTGTGAAGGTTTTTGCAGCTGCCTGGATAAACATAATGTGGAAGAAAGATGTTTCCAAGGTCAGACTGTGCTTTCTACCTAGTTGTTTCACAGTACATTCATCTGCTGAACGCAGTACCCAGGCTGTCAGAAGCCCAAAATAGTCCATGGAAAGATTACACAAAAGTGGAGAAGATTTGGGATAATTGGGCAGCTTCAGTGAGCAGACACCTACAAGAACAAAGCTTCAAATAGTTGTAAGTTCTGAGCCTTTGAGTCTTTCCAGTGAAGACCCAGATACCACGAAGCAGAGTCACACTGTTCCTGCTGTACCTTGTCCAGATTCCTGACCTTGAAAACACTGGGAGCACAGTAAGTAGCTGCCTGATGCCATTTGGTTGGAGTGAATTGTTAGGCAGCCACAGGAGCTGAATTTTCATTCACAAGTATGAAAATGCTTCAGCAAATTATCTAGAGAATATAACATATAGAAACATCTGCTCTCTGTTGATTTTTTTTAATTAATTTTTTTCTAGCATCCCCATTGACTTTCCTATGACTCTGAGTTCAGGACTTTTCCAGGACTGTGTCACTCATTTAGATATGCATTCAGATTGTCCACCATCTGAGCACAGCCCCAGCTCCTCTCTGCTTCCCTGCAGAGCTCACTTGTCATATACAGAAGTTGACTCCCAGCTGTCCCTGTCAATAAACCCATTATGAGTGGTGAAGCTGTTGTCATGTTTGTTTGTTTGCAGTACTGGGGATTGAACCCCAGGCCTTATCACTGAGCTCCATCCTCAGCCCTTTACTATTTATTTATTTATTTATTTTGGGACAGGTTCTCACTAAATCACTAAGTTGTCCAAGCTGTGCTCAAACTTTCAATCCTGTTGCCTCGTGCTCCGGAGGGCTGTGATTACAGGCGTGCACATAACACCCAACTTATTGGCATTCTTTAACAGTTTACTTTACTACAAATAATTATTTTCATCAAGTAGTCTTCACTCTCAAACTCTGAACACTGCTTTTTAATGGGCACCTTTTGCCTTGTTCATCAGTCACAGCGGAAGTGCATCCCCTGGGACATTTGACCTAATGATATAGAGAAGATAATATGACTCTCAACCTGCCGGATGTCAGATACACTGAGTTTGTGTTCCTCAAAATTGAAGAATGAATTCTAAGGGATAATGGAGGTTAAGGGTAGAAAAAAAAATTATTGAGAGAGATAGCTCCTGAGAGACAGGGTTGCTGTGGACCCCACTTGATAGAGGAAGTTTTATAGAGCAAAAGCACAAGCTGGGTAAAAAATCATGAGGTGGGTACAACATGAGTCAAAACTATGATCAACTAATAAGATCACAACTATAGCCACTTAGGTAAAATATTGACCCAATGGGGAAGCAGTTCACATAACAACTGTGCATGAGAGGAACAAGGGCCTTTTTAGAAAGACAAGGGTCAGGAGGTCCTGGCCACCCACCTGGGTGACCGATGCCTACCTAGACATTATTAAGCCAGGTGACAACCAATGGTAATATAATCCTCAATTCATTGCTTGTCGCTTGAGGAGGCATGTAGGCCTGGTCATTCTGTCTTTATCTTGAGGCCTCGCCCTCAACAGACACACCTCCAACCACAGCTGTAATGCTTTATCATCCTCCGCACTGACTTCTTTGTATGCCTAGCCCTGTCTGACTGCCTATACTATTTCTGTGTAGCTTAGCTGTCTATAATACTAACACAAACTTCTCAGACTTAAATTCCAGGTTCTCTGGTGCAGCAAAGACTGATGTGAGAGAGTTGGGCTGGCTAAAGGCTGAGATTCTAATGTCAGACATACCTGGGTGTAAATTCTAACTTTTCCACCTACTTATGAGCTTCATGGGTGTGGACAAGTTGGATTACCACATCTACAAAGCATAGGAAGAATGCCAATGTCACTGTACTATTGGGGAGTAAAGAAAGTATGCCAAAGCTTATCCTCAAAGCTGGTGCCTTGGTGGAATTCTGGAGTGAGTTACTACTACCATCACCACCACCACCTCCACTAGTAGCAGCACCAGTGAAAACAACAGTCTCCACCCCACTACCACTGTTTTTATCTATACACAAGCTCTCCCTGCACCAGCAAACACCAGTAACACCACCAGCACAAATACCTCTATCCTCCACATTCGCAATCCCACCCCTCCATCACTGCGGCCTCCATCATGCCTGCTGCCTCTACTGTCTCCTTCGCTGTTCTGCCTGGACTTTGTGCATGTATTTGGCTCACCTACTACAGAAATTATAGGGAAGGAACTATTTTGGTATCTAGAACGCTGCACATTGAGCTCTAAAAGTAATAGGTACAAATACCTCGTGAACAAGTGAATGAATATGTATGATAACATTTAAAGATCATCCTTCAGGACATCTAGGAGTTGTTAAAAGCTACGCCACTTCAAGCCTGAGAGTGACCCTGTGCTCTGTTTAACAAATTCTCCAGGTGATTCTGATGTTCACGCAGTTCCAAGAAGCATGGGTATAAACCTCGTGGAGGTAAGCACACGAAGTTCCATACAAAATGTCAGTAGGGAATTCTCAACCATAGTTATTGTACTGTGGAGGTATTTGTGCCCCTAACATAAAGGGCTTATAAATAATAGGGAACAGCATGGACCACTGAGTGAGGGAAAAGAAGTGGAAGGGCAGGGAGGAGATGAGAGAAATTCCCAAGCAGCTCTCTGCTTCGACGAGGTTATTCTTCTGGCTACAGTCAGGGAAGTTTATAAAAGTCTTTTAGTGTTAGAGCAGTGATTTTCTTTTTTCTTTCTTTCTTTCTTTATTTATTTATGTATTTATTTATTTTTTGTCTTTTTCCTTTTTACCGGTACCAGGGATCAACTCACGACTGCCTGCTTGCAAGGCAGGCACTTATGCTGCTGAGCTAAATCCCCAGCCCCAATTTTCTTTTTTCTTTTTAAGTCATATATTGCCAAGTTATAATCATATAGAAGAGCAATTTTTAGAATGCCGTACACAGCAGGGAAAAACAGGGGCTAGGGTATCCTGAGCCCCCTGACGGCCTCTGCAGTGGATGTTGAGTCATTGGAGCAAACTACGTACTTAGCGTCACTGTAGTGTGGCTCTCTGAAGCTCACTAACGGAGCCATCAGCCAAACCTACAGCTCTCAGTGAGTTGGTGAGACTTAGCAAGTAGCAGGGCCTGCAGGGGGCACTAGTAACACAGAAAACCAGCAACCTGGGCAGTCAAAGAGACAAGGTCAGTAGGAGCAGGAGCAAGTGACCTGCACGCCAGGGCTGCAGCAACTGGCTGCAGCTCTAGATGTTCTCGGGGAGAAGGATGGTGAGGGGATGGAAAAGTAAAGGAGACAAAGCTTGGGGCAGCTGAAGCCCTCACTCTCCTGATGGGAGAGCAGGAACTATGTAACTACTGTAGCACATTTATTTATAGACTCCAAAGAAGAATGTCAATTTCAATGCCATGGGCTAGCAATTTGTTTGCCTGGCTGGCCTGGGCCCCCCTGCCTTCTTGGTGCTGGAACAACTTGTTTATGTCTTGTTTTGAACTCTGTGTTTTCAGGGCTGGTCTTGCTTCAGCCCCACACATGTAATCAGTCTCCACTTTCAACAGCCCACTACAATGGGCAAATCAAGTTCCCAGGAGATCAATCAAGGAGGACAAGGAGACAAGTTACCAGGATGAGTGTGTGTACATGGTCAGGGTGAATGATTTCCCCCTAACAGCTTTCCAGTATAGGAGATAATTTGGAAGCAGTCAATATGTGTCTATATGTGAGGTCAATATGGTATCTATATGTGAGGTACATCAGTATCTGGGACCACCTGCAGATACCAAACTCCATGAATGCTCAAACCCTTTTTGTTAAATGGTATAGTGTTGGCATGGAACCTATGTGCATCCTCCTATATATTTGAAAATTACAAACCCTTTTTGTCAAATAGTATAGTGTTGGCATGGAACCTATGTGCATCCTCCTATATATTTGAAAATTACCTATGTATTATCTGCAATACCAAATACAACGTGGATGTTTTTTAAATAGTTGTACTCTATATTATTTAGTGACTAACAACAAGAAACAAGTTTGTATATTTTCAGTGAAAGTGCAGTATTTTTCCCAAATATTTTTGACTTGCGATTGATCAAATCCACAGATGCCAAAACCATGAGTACAGACAGGATTCACTCTGAGCTACATTCCCAACCCATGTTTGTTTTTCATTTTTGGACAAGGTCTTGCTAAGTCACTGAGTTGCCCAGGTTGGGTTCAAACTTGAGATCACCAGCCTCAGCCTCTCAGAGTGTGGGATTCCAAACATGTACATTGTACCAGGCTATAAACATGATACTTATTCTTCAAGAGGCACAGTTATTCTCAAGGGGCTGTTTTTTGTACTTAAAAAATGCACCACAGTAACAGCACTGCATGGTGTTGCTTATCCCTGTACCTCTGCTTTTTTGCTGGAATGTTTTTCCTTCCATCTTGAAAATTCATGTCAGGTAACACCTTTTCTTGGAAGCTTTTTCTTGGACTGGCTGCCTCTTCCTTTGTATTTCTGCACAGTATTAAATTGCATATGGCTGTGTCTCCTTCTCTAGAATGTGAGTTCTTAGAATTCATAGATGCATACAAAATGTTCAAAAAATGCTTGTTGAATGTTGAATGACTGTCAATCATTGGCACAGAGAGGAGAGGTACCTTGCCTGGGTAAGAATACAGCTGCCAGTTAGTTGTGCTCAGAGTGGCAGCACAGCGGGACATCAGGCTTTCCAACTGTGGCCTGATCAGAGTTGGGCCCTGCTGGGGAGGGGGGTGAGTCAGCACCTTTGGCATACATGGCAGCATCCTGGTATTCTTTCTCTACCACAGGGGCAGCTAGGATTTAGATCCTAGAACCCAGGAAAGGGCAACATCTAGTTGGCAGCAAAACTCCTTGGCTGAGGAGAAAAGTGCCTGAACCAGCCTCACTCTTACTGAACTCAGCCTCAGAATATCAAATTTCATTAGCTACAAGTTTGCTGCTGGCTTTAGAGTTTTGGTTTGTTTCTTTGAAGTCCTGGTGATCAAACTTAGGGCCTTGGGTCTAGTAGGCAAATGTTACCACTGAGCTGTACCTTTGGCGCTGGCCTGCTCAGTTACTGTTTCTTATTGGCAATGCAACCTGTCTTTCAACCAGCTGCATTCAATTGATTTGAACAAGTGAGGTTTTTCTTTTTCCACTTCATATCTTATGACAGACAGAGGAGAGAGAAAGAGGGAAAGAGCCAGTCAACCAGAGAGAGAGAGAGAGAAACAACTGCAGGAAAGATATTTGTTTGGCTTTAGATAGAGAAGACAGGGAACATTTTCTCTTTCATCCAGATGCATATTAAGAACTTTGCCCTGCATTTAAAATGAATACAACTGAGTCTTATTTTCAAAGCCGGCATTTTAAATACTACTAAAATATTCTCAATAAGTTCCCAGTAATTATCAAATTTGGGTTAGAGGGGAGAAGTCTCCTGCCCACACCTCACTGCTGAGCTTGGTCGGACTGGGGCAATCCAGGACAAAGGTGGAAAGGAAACAGAAAGTGCTGGTCACATAGCCCAACTCCGGAGCCACCTTCCTCCTGGCTGGTGTAGACCAGGCCTACCTGTTCTCCTCAGTGTGGAAAGTGGTTGCCATAGCAACTGGTCCAGGCTTTGACCTGAGCATTGACTCACCCTCCCCTGCTTCAGGACTGCCTGCCAATCAGGATTGTCATGCACCAGCAGCACCCTGGTGGCCACAAGCTTGCAGTCCATCCTCGGATGCCTCTCAACCCCCCTCAGTCAGTCCCCACAACCCACAACCTCCTGTTATGGCTTATGTCTAGAGATCCTTGCAAAGCTTCATGTGGTCATAGACAGAGCTTTTTCAGAGGTGGGTAGATCTGGAATGTATGACACTGGAATTGATTCATGGTGCAATGCTAGGATCAACAGCACTAGGATTGAGGGTATGAGTGCTACCCACCCTATGTAGCCTAGATAAGATATAAGGGATACACAGAGCTGTGGTTGTCCTGCTGCCATGAACTGTTTTCCCTTTGCAATGCCTATCTGTGGTGTCAGACTGTCTTGGAGCCAGCTGACTACAGATAGAAACCTCTACAAACTGAACTACGTAAACCTTCCCTCCTTCAACTTTGAGTGTCAAATATTTTGCCTCACCAACAAGAAAAATGATTAAGACAATACCCTACAGGACAACCTGGAGCCTAGAACTCAATAACTTTTGAGCCAAAGAGCAAATTGTATGTTGGAGAGGTGTAGGAAGCTGATGAAGTTACACACACAGTCACTCATAATTTCTCCCTATTCCTCCTTGCAGTTGATCTAGCAGTGGGTTGCAGGGAGCTGATGACCTTGATTGCGGGTTTGGCACATTTCTGGATGCCAATTCTGTTTCAGGGAAAAGACAGAGCCTCTCTCTCTCACCACACAGCCCCCCATTGATGCCAGGACTTGGGTCAGGCCAGCAATGTTGTTAACATGTTTACCTCAAAGAGAAGACTAGGGTAGGATAGGGCAGTGGCTCACTGATAGAGTACTTGACTAGCCTGCATGAAGCCCTGGGTCTATCCCCAGCATACCCCTCTCCCCCAATTATAGGAGTCCAGGAAAATGTTCTCATGCATGAGGAGATGTTGAATTTATGCAAAATACCGCAGAGGCTCCATGGTCCCAGGGACCTCTTGCAAAGAAAAACAGACCTCCAGCAGCAGTTCCTCACTTTTCCAGGCTCCCCAGGCTGGCCTGACCTCTCTAAGCTCTCCAGGAGTCAAAGTTTATGGGGTCAGGGAAGCAGCTGGTGACCCATACCTGGGGGGTACAAAAGGAATTTCATGCTTTCTTGTCCCAAAGGGTTTTATTTTCCTCCACTGAGACCTGAGCCAGAGGAAATTAGGTCAAATAGCAGCAAGAAGGGGCATAGCCATTAAAGAAAGCGGAATTTCAGACAAAGATGAGGACTTGCTCAGGTCACCTGGCTTTGGGAAGCTTTCATGTCTGTGTTAGGAAGAAGTCACGTGGGGTACTTAGAGACGTATGAGTCGTGGAGTGAGGTTTCTAGTTCTGGTTCTACTACTCTACCAGCTGTGTGACCTCAGACTAGACAAATCCCTTAATCTCTAAAGGGCTTCATTTCCTCACTTATGAAACAGAGAAGATACGTCATACCCTGCAGTGCTTGGGATGATGACTGAACAAAAAACAACATGTGCACAGAAATTCTTTATGGAATTCTACGTGACAGACAAAACACATTTCCAACACTTTGGATTAATCAATGAAGAAGTGATTAAATAGGCAATAATGAATTCGGTAGCAGGAAGGAGAAGTTGCTCTTCCACTCTGATTGCCAAGATGCAGCAACCTGGTGTTGCTGCTCTGCTCCCAGCTGGTTACTGGGTTGTAGCTCTGAGGAGGACTCAGGATAACATAGATCAGTCACTCACAGCTTATTTCCTGGGTAAGTTCAGGCCAACCATTTTCCACACTTTCCACTCTGTGGATAGAGTTGGCGGAGATGGATTTTGAGCAGAATTGAAATGGGAGGCGGAGAATCAGCCAGAAAGCCTCAGCTGATACAGCCCTGGGGAAACAGAAAATGCTGAAATCTGGTAGCTGAAGCCATAGATTGACAGGTGGTCATTGGCACAATCATTTGTTGTTAGTAGTATTATTGAGTACTTATTACAAGCCAGACATTTTGCAAAGTTTTTTCCAAAAGTATGCTTTTAAATTCTCTGAAAAACCTATGAATTAGCTATTGCTATTTTACTTATGAGAAAAAATAGAGCTCAGATTGATTCTGTTAGGTAAGGTGTTCAAAGTCTTACAAATGAGAGAGCTAGAATTCAAATCTCGGCATGCTTTATCTCTAAAATTGAGCTCTGGACCAATGTAGCAGTGATTCCTACCTTGTCCTAAACATAGGAATCACCAGCAAGCCCAACTATACCCACCAACTTCTAGGCCCCACACTCAAAGCGTGGAGTGTGGGGCCTAGAAAAACCCTGAGAATTTGCACTTGAGGAGCTCTAGAGAGCAGTGGGACTGTGTGTTCTCCTGGCTCCAAACTGGGAGGAAGCACTGGAGCCCCCAGAGCTGGCCTACCACAGAAACTCACCTGGTTGTCCCCTGGCCTGCACTACTTGTTCTCAAAACCTTCCGCAGAAGCAAACTTCCTCATTCAGTAACCCAAACTAGAGAACAAATATACAGCTTTCCTGCTTTTGGATAGTCAACTTTTCCCAACTTTGCTCAGTTCCTCATTGATTAAACTCATTCTTTTTGCAAAACACATCAACTTCAGGAATGAGGAAGATCTCTAGAAGAATTCAGGAAGGATCACAGAATTTCAGGAGACCCCAGGAGCTTTTGAATCCTCTCTCATGTGCCAGCAGGACCTGAGGCACGGCAGGCATTGATCATTCCTGAGGTGAGCTGTGCTGAGCCATGATCAAGCAGTTCACAAAGGCAGGTTGCTGGTTGTCCTCTGGCTGTTCATATCAGACTCCTATGTCCCATGTATGAGTTTCTGCCTTTATCTCCCATAGTGGCCCAAATATGGTCCCTTCCAGACATACATCCACACTCTAATTGTTGAGTAAATTTTGGGATATAGGACTATGGTAAAAACCAGCCCTATGATGGGGCCAAAGACAAGTTTGTTTTGTTTTGTTGTTTCATTTTACTTTGCAGTTTTCTGAAATAACAGTTCTGGCATCAGGTACCATAATTTTGCCATGTAAAGGTCAACCTTACACAGTCTTCAACTTTACATGCTCTTCAAACATACACACCTACCTGGAAAACTTGGTGCCTGCTTGAAGGTCTTCCTTATCACTCCTGTGCCACCACCAGCAGGGAAGTTTGGGGTCACTGTGGACGGACCATCCAACTTTGAGATCACAGCTTTCACAGTTTCATCACTGTTCATGTCTACCCTACGTCTTCCCTTTACTCTGTGGCCACATGTAGTCCTGTCATACCTGGAATTCATCCACAAAAGAAATCACAACTCTTACTCATTAGATACCATATGTCAGTTTCTTATTTCAGTCTTCCATCCTCTCTGCTTTCACTTTCTTGCATGCACCTTGGGTCTTCTTGGAACTCATTCAAATCTCCTTGTCCACTATTCCTTTATTGTCCCTATTTCTCCAATCAAACACATTGTCATGATCCTGTGGACCATCACTAATTTTCTTGTTAGCACTTCTGACTATCATGCTCTTGATATCATGCTATTGATATCATTTTTTGACTGACCTGATAAATCTCAACTTTGGATAATCTTAACCTACCAACTTTTTCCTTCTTAGACTTCTAAGTATGGCAAGAAACAGTCACATGTATGTGCAGATTGAGGTCATACAAATTAATACAAGACCTCCAAGTTCAGAAGGGCCTCGGTGTCATCTGGCAAGATTTTTTTTTTTTTTTTCCTTTTTATCGGTACCAGGGATCGAACTCACGACTGCCTGCTTGCAAGGCAGGCACTTATGCCGCTAAGCTAAATCCCCAGCCCCATCTGGCAAGATTTTTAAGAGTCCCTGGTCAGCAGCTCAGTGCCAGGTTTGCGGCTCTTATATTCAAAGTGTAGAGGTGACTAACAAAGGCACTCCCTTGGCAGCACTCTGGACTGTGAATAGGGCTCTGGAAGAGCATCTACATAGCTCAGGACCACACACCCACAATTGCTCTGCTTTTCTTAGTTTTTGCAATAACTGTTTCAGAACTTTCTTCTGGTCTTATTTCTACTAAACAATTTTCCTCTATTTGATTGAGAAAATAAAGATCATTAAGAGGGAATCTCTGTAGACTTCTGGCCCCCAACCTAGATAGACTTCTTTCCCTGAAAAACACCCTCCCTTCCCTTTATTCCTCCATTCTTAAATGTCTTTCCAGCTCATTAAGGCAAATCCTTTCCCTGTGATTGAACTTTTGTCCCAATTCTCTCCTCCTCCTTCGATCATTCTTATTACTTTCCATATTATTCACAACCTTTCACCAAGACTTATACATGTTCAGTTTCCTTTCATTTAAACAAACAACCCTCTGTCTACCCTTCCATTTTTCTTAGTCACTGCTCTGTGTTATTCTTTTTCTTTTCAACCAACAAAATAAAATTAGTATCTTAAAAAATTTTCAAATAAAAATAGAATAGTATAATGTGTTATCATGTACAGATTCATCCAGATTCAAAATTTTGTCCCAGCTATGGTTCTTGAGAGTTGATACTTCCGTTCCACTTAGCGTATAATTCCTCAAGATCTGGGTCCCTCCATGCAAGCTCATAAAGTTGGTCTCTCAAGTATCTCCAGTGGTCTGATGGTTAAATCTAGCCAGTACTTTTCAGTTTGTACTTTCCTATTGATCACTCCATCATTTGATTTCTTCTCCTTGCTTATATGACCCATTTTCTCTTTATTTATCTATGATTACACAGTTTCCTCTGTGGCTCTGAGTTCTTATCTCCTCAATATTCTTTATCTTTAGCTTTCTCTTGCCTCATTCTTCCTTGACACGTACTTCAAAATTGAATAAAACCATTTACACCAACTTCATTGAATTATGCTTGCTTGGCTAATTATTAGCATTCCCCAACAACCTATGAATTTCTTAATGTCTGAGAATCTATTTTTGTTAATGTAGTACCAGCTTAAAATGGGACCTGATAAATACCACCTAAATGGTGTGTGTATCCCATTATTACAGCCCATGTCACTCTTCACCAGTGCCTCCAGCTTGGCTCTACAGAGGAGCAAACAGAAACAGCTCATTGTGCTTGCTAACTGGGGCATGAGTAGAGAAAATTCCAGAGATATCCAGAGCCTCATTTCAGCATCAGAATTTCAGTCTCCTCAAATAGAAAGCCATTCATCCCAAGGGGATAGATTTATATTTCAGATACTTCTCTGTGTCCACTTACCAAGTCCTAGTGGTCAAGGAGCCACAATAAGATCTGTAGCTGGCAAGAAGATGAAACGCCAAGGAGAGGTTTTCCAAAAATCCAGAGCAACTTAATGGCATTGTTATGGCACCATATGAATTTTAAGCTGAAGCAAATCTCCTTTGGCTGTGAGATCCCCTGCATGGTGCATCTAGCCAATGATCGAGATTGCCAGACCTGGGAACATAAAACTGGAGGCCAGATGGGAGGTCACCAATGTGCAGCATATGAAAATGACTGCCACTTACTGGACACCTACAACATGCCAGGCACTGAACCAGGCCTCCAACTATCCACCTATACAGCTGTTAGTAATAAAATCATCTATGATAACCCAAACCATCCTCCTCTTCAATAAAACTGACAGCCACACCATGAAAGCACTTTCCCTGGCACCATCTGATTGGTTTTTTGAGACAGGCTTAGGGTCCTGCTCCCATTTTATAAAAAGAAAAGATGTGACATGTTTTTAAGGGTCACATTATAGAGTCAAACTTGAATTTTCCTATGCTTTGTCTCCAAATTTTTGGCTTGCTGTGCACTGCAGCTGTCCAGAGGGCATTTGTCTTTTATTGTCAAGGCTGTGTGGCTCATGTCCTGTCATATATAAAGGTCATGGGCTCTGAAATTAGCATTTCTGTCACTGATCACCTCTGTGCGACACAAACCCTCTGCACTGCAATTTCTTCATCTATAAATGGGTTGATGATACAGGCCTGGCTGCTTTGTGGAGTTTTGTGAGAATCAAAGGAGATTAGGTCAGAGAAGGCACTTTGAAAAGCTTGACTATAAGACAATTATATAGAGGTGTTATTGTCAGAAGGGACACAACATTCAAAGGCATGCCATATTTCTTTGCTTTTAAAATTTTTAAAGTGACCTTTAAGCAAGGAGCCAGCTGAGTTCTTAGTTCTCATTTAGCATGCTTTAATTCTGAGGCTTTGAAAGCAAAGAAAAATATTTGGAGGCAGAATTCCCAGAAATCAGTAGGGAGGAGAAACTGGAGCTCCCCCGGGGAGGAGGGCTGGGGTCAGGAAACCAGCCCAGGCCTCCTCTGTCATCAGCTTCTCATCCCCAGGTTCAGGAAATCCTTTCCACTCCTGGAGCCCTTTCCCACACTGGCTTTCTGTTTCTCCTGTGTGGGCAGCAACTCTCCTCTGACACTGTGAACTTGAGTTGGGGTAGAGGGGAAGATGGAGGAGGGTTTGTATGTGGGGGTGGCCCTGTCTACGGGGAAAGTAGGAGGGGGAAGTAGGAAATGAGGACATTCTGATGTGCTGATTTTCTGCTATATTAAGTCCTGGTATTTTATATCATATACTATCCACCAGGGCCTTAGGAGGGAGATATTCTTATTCCTATTTCAGAAACGAAGACTCAGGCTCACATTTGAGCTGGGTACAACCTGGGAACTATCACACAGCTAAGAAGTGGTGGAGTTCGATTCAGATCAAAGTTCTAGGTGAGTGCACAGTCCTGGTATCCTATATTTTCCTGGGCCTCTTGCATGCTCATTTGAGGGGTATACAAACCCAGTTCTGGGTATGGTGTGGCAGTACTTCAAACATGAGTGCATGCCCTCCATCAATTAAATGCAACCCTGAGTACTATTCACCTTCTTAGGTGCTGCATAGTACTCAAAGAATCTTTTCAAGACTGACTCTTTTCACCTGAGATCCTCTTCAAATTATTTTAGTCACTGTTGTGCTATATACATATCTCATTCAATAACAGTGAGTGTAGCCACTCACTGTTAAAGTACTGGGGGGCAGCAAATGTTCTTTAATTGAAAGGAGACTGCCAGGTGTGGTGGCACTTGGAATCTCAGTAATTAGGGAGGTGGAAGCAGGAAGATCAAAAATTTGAGGCCAGTCTGGGGAGCTTAGTACCCCATTTTTTGGGTGTAGATCAATCATGCGGCACTTGCCTAGCAAGTGTGAAACTCTGGATTCAATCCTCACCATCACATACCCACACCCACACCCATTCTAATACACACACACACACACACGAAAGAAGGAAGGAAATAAGAAAAATGACAATGCTGAACATCATGTGAGCCTTGAAAAGTGCAATGGTTAAGAAATCCCCACCCTTTTGTGTTGTAGGTATGACTAACCACAAAGAGCTATACTTAGCTATGATGAGCTGTCTACTCTCTCTTGAGAACTTTCCCAGTGATGGGAGCCTGCAGAAAGACCAGAAACAGATGCTCCCACTCCCTCTTTTTTGTCTCCTGAATGATTTACTTGAAGTCTGTCACCCTGAACCTGGTTAGGCACAGAGCTAAACATTTCCTACTGAGTTGACTGACTGAGACATCCTCCCACGGACAAACAATCCCACATAAACTACCTATCCATTACCCATCTAGTCCTCTCTGTAAAAAATATAAGCAAAATCACTCCCTGAGACAGGCTGGTCTAGGGAGAGAGGAAGTTCTCTCCCTATTGCAGTAGTCTGAATGAAGAAAAAAGAAAAAAAATCTTATGCATTTGGATTTTTGTCTTTGACAGGAATGACAATAAACAAGTAAATAAAGAAGATAATTTCATGTAAGAGTTAATATGATGATAAAACAAGGTAATACGGTAGAAGGAATCTCTAGGTAATTGTACTCATCTAGATTCTCCAGAGACAGAATCACTAAAGTATATAGATATACTATATACTATATGGATGTGATTTACTATATGGAGCTGGATTAGAATTACGGAGACCGAGAGATCCAAGATCAGCATTTGGCAAGCCAGAGACCTAGGAGAACTGATGGCTCCAGTCTGAGTTCAAAGGTCTGACATCTGGGAAAGCCGGTGGGATAGATTCCAGTCTGAATCTGAGATTGAAGGTAAGAAAAGACTGATATCTCAGCTGGAAGATAGGCAGAGAGTCCTTTCTTGCTCACTCTGTTGTTTTATCAGGCCTCTTGGGGATTGCATGAGGCCAGCCAACATTGGGGAGGTCAATTTGCTTTACACTACAAATATGTTAATCTTATCCAAAAAGCCCCTCTACACACACACACACACACACACACACACACACACACCAGATAATGTTTTACCAAACATCTTCATGAACCAGTCAAGTCTGCACATAAAATAAACCATCACAGCAGGAGAGAGAGAAAATCCTGGGAGGAGCCTTTGCTAGAGTGTGTGTGTGGGGGGAGGGCTTCAAGGGCATGACATTTGAATGGATCACTGACGGATGAGAAGGAGCCATGTGAAGACCCGGGAGAGAGGCTTCCAACGCAAAAAGCAGAAAGTGCAAGACTCTGCTTGTTTGAAGAGCAGAAGCATGGCAAGGACGGCGGGGCTTCCCTGAGCCACAGGTGACGGTATGAGAAGAGACTGGAAGGACAAGCAAGGTCTCAACCTTATCCATGTGTTCCCTACCCCTGCTCAGACTGCTTCATTTCTTATAGACTCTGTGGAGTCTAAAACCATGCTGACCTCACAGACTCAGGATCACTGGCTGACTCACAAAGAGCTCCTTACTTACTTGTTCCCCAAAATACAAATGATAGGCAATATGAATTTTCTGCCCATGTGTCTTACGTAAGACAACTCAACAACTTGTTTTTTTGTTTCTAGTTTTGTGTTTTGTTTTGTCTTTTGAGACAGGGTCTCACTATGTAGTCTAGACTGGCCTAAATTCGCTTGTGTAGCCCAGGCTGGCCTTTATCTTGTGATAGTCCTCTGTCTCCTGAGTGCTGGGATTGCAGACATGCACCACCACACCTGTTTTCAACCCAAGTTTTATTAGGAATTGTTTGAGGTTTATCCTAAGTCCTAAAAACCTCTCAAAACATACCTAACTAGACAACAGATACCCTAATTGCCAGGCCTTCTGGGTAGAGATCCTGAGAAACATAGCAGTGTCAGTAGACAGACAAAATATCTCAAAAAAAGGACAGTGAAAGAAATCAGGAGCATCTGTTAATATCTCTCACTTCTTTGAAACAGCCCCCCCCCCCCCGCCCCCAGAACTTCCACGGTCAGCACTAGACTTACCTCTTCAGGCTTGTCTTTTGTCTCACCTTTTAAGAACAAAATTTCCAAACTTCTCAAACATTCTGCTTCTCCTCTGCTTGGAATCCACGCCCAGCTTCCCTCCCACTGGTTGTCTCTCTGTCCCTCCCCAGTGCTCGTAGAACCTGTGTGGTGCTTTTTCTGATCTCCCATCCCCCACAAAGTGCACAATTGATTCTTTCCTCCTTTGATCCCTTAAATTAAATGTTAATCATGGGTCTGCAAGGTGGGAGTTTAAACAAGTTGCCCTGTTTTTAGTTTCAACATTGGTAAATTTCATATTATAATAGGGTTTTGGAGAACACACGTGTGCTGCTTGTTAGGAGACAATTCTTCATGTGTAACTTGGAAATAGCTGCAGGCACTGGTTCCCTTTGTTCTAGGGGCTATCCTTTTAAACATGCTTGAATGACAATCAGCATATAGTGTCTCCGTTCAGGGCATACGGCAAGTGTGCTCAGAGCTCCTTAGATTGGGGTTTCCCCAGTTCAGGGCTCCTCTCCTGACAAGCAACCCTGTGGGTTCAACTGGCTATTATAACATCCATCACCTTGTGGAAACTGGAGTTTGAAAAACTGAACCATGAATATGATAGTCTGGCTGCTGCTACTGTTGTGTATAAGAAACTGTTCTTAATTTCCAATCCATAGTTTAATCTCTTCTACTAACATCCATGGAACTGTGGCAAGCTAATTCATTCGGTGTTAAGTAGGGTAAAATCCTCAGAGTTTGTGCAATCATGGGTAGCAGGTGGTACTCACTAAACTTTAATTCTCCTAAGAGTTTACAGCTGCCTCATTTTCTAAAACATGGTCGTGAACGGCAGGGGGTCTGTTTGGGAAGTTCCCCTGCTGGGACTTCAGCCTATAATTGACTGAAATGAGAAACCGAAGGCCAAACCGTTTGCCCTGGCCTTGAGAGGAAGGGCAATCCTGGGTGATATGTTCCGGAGCTCCACCCTGCTCCACACTTGCATCAGACCAAGAACAGATGACCTGAGACTACATTTTTCCCCTTCCCTACCTGGCTCTCTATTCTCTCTCATTTATGGATTTCATGTGAGAATTCTCTTTCATAAATGACAAAGGGCCAAATCCCTGCATTAGGCTCTGATTCTAGGGAAGCTGGCTTAAAACACAGCACTGTTTCCTAAAAGTGGTTCAGGATCATCTGAGAGTGTTAGTTTTGAGCCTGTGTCAGAGCTGCAGAAGTGACTGCATACCACCAACTCTTTGAGCCAACCAGAGCCAGCCATTACTCATGAATTGCCCACCACTCTTAAGAGAAAGGCAGGTATGTTACCTGATTCCTATGGTTTCTGTGAACAGAGAAATGCTGCATGTCAGGAAGCAATTTGTCATTTTTCATTTTGGACTCAGGCCAGTGACACCTTCTAAGTGTGAGTATTTTTTCCCAGGATGTAGATGCAAGATAATCCTCCTGTCTAACACTGGTCTTCAGGTTGAATCCAGCATTCTAAATTCCTTTATTACATGACACCTGATGTTGCACCAGTCTCCGTGTGTACCTGGAACCTAGAACACTCCTCCTCTGGCCCAGTCTTACAGACTCAAGATTTTGGCCCACCTAAAGATATCCTTTAGGAAAAGGATATTTGTTTGCCTTCCATGTGCCAGTGGTCTCTCCAGAGCAGGGTGCTACTGGCATGGCTCTGAATCTGACGTTTACTGATCTCACAATGCTTCAGTTAGATACAGAATAATAGCTCGATAAATACTACCTCCTTCATTAGGTTAAATGGAAAAGGTCTAAAAGGGAGCAGTGCATGGCACATGGTAAGAACTCAACTTACGGAAATGACTGTCCTTAACATTTTCACCATTGCCACCTGCCACCAACACATGTTTACAGCCCCGTGTAGCATTCAGCAAACGCCTTCACATCTTGAACTGATCTTGTCTTCACTATGGTCTCACAAAGCAGGTGGGGACAGAGATCTTGATACTAATTTATAGATGTGAGAAGTTGTGATTGAAAGATTACTCTGGGTGAGGTCATACAGCTAGAAAACCAGTCAGATATTCCCATAGAACTTAGACTTCACCTCACTGCCTTCTGGGCCTTTACTGGGCCTCGGACTATGTGTGATGGGTAAAGGAAGACTTGCAATGTTTTCTTGGAAAAGGGTACATAGGAGAAGCTATAACAAGTGGATCCGGTAGCTTTTCTGTTCTCTCTAGGCCCTAGGTCAGCTCTATCTGTCCTTGCTTTCCCTCTTTATGCTCCCTTATTATAGTCATTGATACACACACAGACATAGACACAGATATAGGCATAGGATGCTTCTTATTTACTTACTGGAGCACACCTGCAGATTCTCCATTTGCCTGGAGGAGGTAGGTCTCGACGATCCAATGTACCCTACCATTTCTGGGTTTGGTTTTACTTGACAGAGAGATATCCTCTCCTGGGAAGTAGGAATATTTTCATTAGGCAGAAGAGTGGCCTTGAGATACTCATAAATGAATGCAATGGAGAATTGCTAAGAAATGTACAGAGGGGTGGGAAATAGGAAAAAGATGACAGAACCTTATTCACTGGACTTTGGTCACCATGGCAACAACAGCTTCTTCAGTGGAATTACTGAAGATGCCATTTTAAATCAGAGAATTTTCCTTCTTTAAATACATTAAGACACACTGACTTTCATCTTCTCCCCTAATTCTAGATTAGTGGAAGGGAGAGTCTGCACCGAAACTCACTACCCAGGTATAAAGTCTTGGGGGGAAATGTACATGTGACCTGGAAAGACTGTAATTCTAGCATTCTGACTCAGAGCATGATTTTGAAAACACTTGAGCACATTAATGGGATCTGAAAGCCATCTTTAAGAGTTCATGCAGGGAGAGACTGTGGAAGGCTGAGATTGGCCTTTCCAGAAGCACCAGTGAGGCTTACCACCAGCAGGGGAGGGGAGCAGTCCTCACATCAATAGGCAATGGTGTAGCAACCTCTGTGGCACCTGTGGCTGACTGGAAAGTGACCTCCAAAGGCTTCCATGACCTAATCGCTGGAATCTGTTAATATGTCAGTTTACATGATGAAAGACACCTTGCAGATGTAATGTTTGAAGATCTGGAGATGGGGAAATTATCTTGGTTTATCCAGTGGCCCAATGTCAATGTTAGAAGAATAATTAAAAGAAGGTAAGAGGACCAGAGTCAGAGAAGATGCTATGATATGGAAGCAGAAAAAGATATAAAGAGATAGAGAATGATGATGGAGGTGGATGCCATGAGCCAAAAAAATGCAAGCATCCACTAGAATCCAGAAAAGACAATGGAATGAATGCCTTAGGAATGCAACCCTGCTGACTCTTTGACTTTATGACTTTTTCTTCTGACCTCCAGACTTACAAAGAGAGCGTTATAATATAGCATGATGTTTTAAGCCACTATTTTATGGTAATGTGCTATAGCACATATAAGACTGATTGTCATAGTGACTCCATCCATCATCACAAAAATAAAGGGACCAGAATACAGTGGCCTGGGTGAACATGAAACCATCTGTGCATTCATTTAGGTCCTGGATCTCAGACCTGTTTTCCCAAGCTCAGATTAAGGAAACACCCAACTATTCATCTTTGAGATTTAAAGGAAACTAATAAAAAGAAAACCCTCCTGGTTGGCACCCTGAGGGGCAGGTATCTGTATTATGCACGGCCTGCAACATGAGCAGCCCTAGAGGTGACATGGTTTACAGCCCTGCTCCATCATTCACCAGCTATGAATTTATTTTGTGAGGCTGAGGCCTAGTTTGTTGTCATAGTAGTGATGGTGACATCAATGTTATAAATCCTTGAGAAGGCTAAATGTATGTGACAGCAATAGATGTGTTTGTTTAGAATTGTTTTGAGAGGGGGACCATCACCTCATCACCTGTTTCTTGGTCCTGGAATGGTGACTCCAGCTTGATTGGTGTCATCAGCTGCTGCTCCACCTTGTCAGAAACATTTCCTGCATCTTGCCTAAAAGAGCTCTTAATTCAGCAGGATTGCATTCCTTCCAGAGCCTCGCAGGGAGAACTGAGCAAAAACAACCATTCATTAAGGAGCAAAGATAGCCTGGTTTATTAAATCTGAATTGACAATCTACATGCTAGTTCAGAACCCAGCACTACAGATTAGCTCTGCTAGTATAGTTGCTTAGGCAAATCATTTACCCACTTAAGCCACTATTTTCTGTCCTCTAAAATGTAAATAATGATGGTGGCCTATTTCATACAGTTGTTGCAAGTATTAAATATGATGATGTTTATAGAATGCTTAACAGTCAACCTCAACTGTCATGAATGGAACATATGCCACCACCCACACACAGCACTCAAGCAAACCTGGCACCCAGCCTTGACATAACAGCATCACAGCTGGTGATGCAGTGGCTAGGGTTCTGCATGTCAGATCTACACTCTGCACTTTCGGGGTCCTGTTCCAGGTCATTCCCTGTTCTCGTACACATAAGGTGAAGACTTCTTGATTCCATAGGGGATAAAGAAGATCGATGCTCTGATAGGATAGTTCCAGCCTCTAGATTGCGCAAAAACATGGTATTTTAGCTGTGATGATGCTTTCAATTGTGCCATATTCCTCTTAAAAATTCTAGTAAGTCTTATAGATGTTGTCACCAGAAGTGTTTGCTGCAGTCACAGTGAAAGTAGAATCCTAGGCTTCTGGGCACTGCCATATTTCTCAAGAGCCTTTTTTCTTTTCTGAGTAACAGATATTATCCTTAAATGCTACATTTAGAGCTAAAAAATTGCTCTTTCAATTAAAATGTGTTTTGTCCCCATTTCAGGCTTAATCTTCATTACAAGGAATTTCAAACATAGTCTGAAAACTGGGAAGACCTATAAAGGCATATTTGCTATTGTGAGACAAGAGTTAAAGCTATGAGAGGTTTAAAGCAAAAAGAGTGCAAATTATTCTCTAGTTCTGTTTTACAGATATTACTATTTTTAAAGGGTTTGGTGTGATGAAATTTTATTTGAAAGAAATAAAGAGAAACACACAGTCAAATTCTTCTTTTGACTGATTCACGCAATAATAGGTTGATTACGAGGAGTCTCATCATGCTGGCAGCGGACATCAATTAAATAAAACAGTAAGCGAAAGGATCAATACTAACCCAAGAAACATTTCCTGCAGCTGGACAACATCAGTTGTTTTTTTTTGCTTGTTTTTTTGTTGTTGGTACCAAGGTGACCTGATGACTTTGCACTTGCCAGTCAGGCACTTATGCCATGGAGCTAAATCCCTGGCCCAAGAACATCAGTTTTATAATATTTAAAGTGTACCCGACTGCAATCCCCATAATAGCCTTAGGAGTTGTAAAACACAGATCCAATCTTGGCTTCTGGAATATCATCTTCTAGTGGCCCTCCTACTATTTCCTTCTCTGTCTCTCTTGGAGGTTTTCCTTTTTCATTCTGTTCTTTAAACGGAGTTCCTCAAATTTCGACCTAAGCCCTCTTTCCATTCTCTTTCCTCAGCAATCTCAAGCATGCTCATAGCTTTAGTTCCCTCTTGCAAGAAAATGATCAAAATATTTATATTTCCATTGCAGATATCTCCTCTGACCTTTAGATGTACCGAGTTTCCTACTTCATGTGTTCAGTGAAATATTTCAACAGTATCTCAAACTCAACCTGCTCAAAATGATCACTTACCTTGTTACAATGTCAATGGTTTCAGCCAATAGCCCTGTCAGTTGCACATGGGCCAGAACCCAGCTACCATCTCGACATCCGTCTTCTACTTCCGGTCCTCTGTCCATCTATCACCAATTCACCTCTTCACCCGCATGGCTGCTTCTTTGGAGTACGTGGCCACCATCTGTCACTTGGACTGTGACAAACATTTTCAGTATAATATTTAATAAGCATCCCAGTGATTGTTATCATCAGGCAAGTTTGGGAAGCCTGGCTCTAACATTCCCTACATGGCCTGCAGAATGCTTTGGACTGAGTTTTCTGCCTGCCTGTTGGCCCCATCTTGCCCTGCACAAACATTCTTCTGAGCTCCAGCAAACTTTTTTTTCATTCCTTAACTTCATATTCTCTCATGGTCTATGCCTTTGAGAATAGAACATTCCATTCTTGCTGAAAAGGTCTGAGATCTATGGATATCTGACATAGAAAGTCACATTTTGGGTTTTCCATCAGTCTTTGATCTGATCTGGTCCCCACAGACCTGTAAGCTACTTACAGCTCCCTGCCAAGAACCAGGTCCATAGGTGGGGCTTCACTGCCAAAAAACAAGCACAACATTCCACATTTATCTTAACTTTGTCTTTCCAAAGAAACAGAACTTCAAAGTCATTTCCTGAGCCCAGGCCCGATATTTACCTGTCACTCACAGCTTTGAGCTTCCTCACTCTTGAGCTAACCGAAGTTCTGGTTTATTTAAGTTTAACCTGACTGCCATTGTGTGTCAACCCTATTTTGTCTTTGTTTGGTAAAAGAGTCTGTATATGCTTTTGGTTCTCCATTGTCTAAGAAAGAAAGAAATTCAATATAGTTTGCAAGTTGTTGTGGATTAAATAAATGTTTTGTTCTTCGAAGGCTACTCCCCTCGCCTCACCTAGTTACTTCCTACTAGCCTTCCATCTTAACTGCCACTTTCTCAGAGAAATGTTCCTGAGTCCCTTTAAGGGTCCTTCTTCCCCACCTTCTTCACAGTTGGAGCCTTATACATCGTGTGGGCTCCCTTCTGTCCCTGGACTCCACAGTAAACTCCAGACAGCAAGACGGGACTATTCTTACTCCCTACGCTCCTCCCCACCTCCTGCTACATCTGCCATAGGCCATGGGGTCAATATTCTTAAAATGAGTAAATGAAGCTTTCCCCCTGCATTAAAATACCCCATTGCTTATGAATAAAGGCTGAATTCCTTCCTGTGCCAACATGGGCACAAAGATACCCAAGACGCCACTTGCATCTACTTACAACCTTACCCATTCCGTTCGTGTCTCATCCCACCCTTCACAACTCTTCTCTGCTTCCTTCCCTTCCATATCTGCCCGTAGGCCTCCAAGTGGGCGCATTTTATTATTTTGGAAGGAGAGCAAGCCAGCTCCATAGACTATACATGAACCCCATTCTCCAGGTCCCCAGAACTCTCCAGGAACTTGTTTAACATCCCACATTTGTTAGTAACTCTCTGTGTATTTCTTTTCTTTCCTTGGAAATTCTGTCTTCCCCTCTCTCCACTCTCCTGTGATCAGTGTTAGACGGGAAAGCTAGATGGAATGCAAAGATGGGCGGTGCAGAATGATCAACCGACCAAGTGGAGCAGTCTTATCTCGCTGCTGCCCCATGACCTCCAGCCTTTCTCGCTGGTCCGCTTTGTACCTCTCAAAGGTCTCTATCCTCTCGCTCCCTGTCGGCTTCAGAGGGAACCACAGTGGCTTGTCTGAGCATTCTAGTGGCTGGCTGAGTAAGGAAACACTTCCCTTGTTTCAGGGGAGGCCATGAGTAGTGCAGATGACTTCATGGGGGTGAGTTCTGGGCAGGAAGGTTTGTGCAAGCAGGAGGCAACTTGCACTTCATGTAAAAGTTGCTGAGATTCTAGAACTTTTGAAACTTGTATTTATATTCTAATATCTAGCATAGAGTATAGTGTTTGGTTAAGTCCTGGAGTTAGACTGCCTGCTGGATTTGAATCTTTGCTCTGCTAGCTTACTAACAAATGTAGGATATTAAACAAGTTTCTTG